TAGTGGTAGAGCGTCAGTCTTGTAAACTGAAGGTCGTGGGTTCGATTCCCATAGGTGGCTTTCTCCATTTTGCAGCACGAAAGAAACTATCCTAGTGTGGAGCCAAACAGAATATCGTCCCTGCTGACAACTGGACCAGCCTCCTTAGCTTAGTGGTAGAGCGTCAGTCTTGTAAACTGAAGGTCGTGGGTTCGATTCCCATAGGTGGCTGTTGTTCGCCCATGGGGACTGATTTTGTCTTCAATATGCTTCTGCATGCATATTGTTTTGTGCACTTGCAACCCTAATAACCCTGAAAGATAGCTCGTTTTCTCCACTCGGACGAGTTCGATGCTAAAGCCGCATTAGCCTTCGGCGACGGCCGTTATGTGGATTTAAGCGTCCGTACGTAATATAGTTAATATTTTCATTTTCACTCCATATTTTACATTTGTGCGTTTGGAAGTTTAAGAGACTTTATAAAATAAAAGCTCAGACGCGTTTTGCTCTTGGAAGCGTCTGGCCTAGGCGGCGCACAGAGGCAGCTCATGAGAGGCCCCCGTTTCACTCCGGTGCGCACGTGTGTGCGTTTTTTTGAATATGTTCTGATTGAAACCTTTAACGTTGACGTGCTTCTGTGTACAGGGTGTTCGTCCTTTACTTCCACAGGCCTAAGCTACCTGTGGCTGCGGTGGCCGACAGCAACGCCCCGAGCGATTGCAGCCCCGCTGGGCAACCCCATTTCCTGCATATTCCTTGGGTTGTAGTCGCTGCTGCAACGCTCTCCTGAGACCGTTTTGCCTTCATGATGGACGCGGAGTGCGCCGTGAGGGCGCCGCCTGGGCCTCCCAAGGCAGCACAGACAGCGAACAGCGCTGCTGCTTCTAGTTTCAGTAATGTGGCTCTTGAGTCTAACGGGGCTGCTCCTACGTATACAGAGGAGGCGGTAGTGGAGATGGTGCGCCTCCTCAACTCCCCCTCCTTCGCCAAAGAAGGGGGGGCCGCGTCAACTGCCGCTGCAAACGAATACCTCACCAATTTCCAGAAAGATCCAAGTGCCTGGGGCATTTGCATCTCTATTCTAAACAGGCAGAGTCATCGCCAACAGAGCCAACAGCAGCTGTTTCCAGCAGGACTTCACTCTTACGAGGTCCTTCACTTCGTCGCGCAGACCCTCGCTGCCCAGGCTCGGGCGGGTTTCCCTCAGCAGCTGTCCGCCCTCTTGAGGGTACAGGGGGCATCAGTTGTTGCAGCTACTGGTGCGGGTGTTGACGCAGTGGGGGGCGCATCTCAGGTGTATGCGGAGCTACGGGACGGTCTGCTGCAACTCGTGTTTGCCTTCAGGGATGCCCCGTTACCCGTACTACGTCAGCTGTGTATTGCGCTCTCTTCCGCTCTCATCTTTGGAGCCTCTGCCACTGAAGGGGCCCCCACAGGGGCCTCCGGTGGCTTAGGGGGGGGGCTTCAGTTGGGTGCTGTTTTGCAGACCCTAGGCCAGAAAGCAGGCAAAGAGGGCTTCTTGCCTCTGCTGGAATTGCTCGTCTTACTCCCTGAGGAGTTGTGCACCAAGCGGTGAGTGCGAAGTTTGAATCTAGGGTTTAGGGTTTACACTCTAGGGTTTAGGGTTTAGAGAGTATGGCCAGCTCTGCGGGATGTGCGTGCGGCTTAGGATTGCTCTTCCGGAGGACCGGCGACTGCCTTGTCTTGCAAGCTGCATCAGCAACAATTCCATACAAGTACTGGAGGCCGTAGAGGCGATATTTTTGCAGGCACAGACAGCTCTTGCTGGGGCGGGGCCCCAAGAAAGGCCCCACTGGCGAGCGGTTGTGCATGCAGGTTAGGCGTCTGCTTTCCTTTCTCCCTATCGTGCTGAGAGATGTGCAGGAAAGGGTTTAGCGGTGCCCCGGCGGCTGAGCAGCAACTGCGGCAGCAGCAGCATCTCCTCTTATGGGCTCCATCTCTGCTTGTTACGGTTTCTTCTCTGTCTCCTCGCCCGTGCTGCACCTTTTGATGTGCGTGTGCGGGTTTGCTGCTGCTTCTCAGCTGTACGGACAGTGCAGGCGTGGCTGTCGGCGGTTTGTTGCTGGGTGCAACAGCTCGATACAGAGCAAAGCAGCCAGAATATACAGCAACAGCAGCAGCAGCACGGGCCCTGGGGCCTCTCTGCTGCCTTGGAGGCGTTTTCACTGTGCCTGCAGCGCATCTCAGGGGGCAGGGTTTTCTCTGCTTTGTTGTGCGGAGTGATTGCTGACGAGGTGGAGACTCTCCAGCTGTCTACAGAGTGCGTGGTGGCAATCATTGCTGCTACGTCGTTGCTGGAGGAGTCCACAGCAGCAGCAGCAGCAGCAGCAGCGGCGGCGGCGGCGAAGAACGGCAGCGGGACAAGCTTCAGAGACGGCCCCATAAAACCCAACCCTCCTGCGGAGACATCTGAGGGAAGAGACAGCAAGGACGCCGTTTGTCGCTCGCTGATTGCTGCAATTGTGAAGGCCTACGGCGACGGCTGCACAGCAGCGCTGGCTGCAGCAAGAGGAGTAAGGGGGTTCTGCTCCATGCGGAGCAGGGCGTGCTGCTGATGTTGTGCAGTGGCCGCACAAGAAGCAACGACAGCAGCACCTCCTGCTTCTCCTGCTCCAGCAAAGTATGGAGCCTCCTGGGGAGCCTGGTATATTGCTGACTCCATTTGCTAAAGAGCGATGCGCTGCGTGTGTGTTTTGCGCGGTTGTGCTGTTGCTGCGGTGCAGCAACCGCGAGGCATAGCTGCCTTTGATATTGAACGGTTGCAGGTGTTTGCGTTGGGCCTCACGGAGCTGGCGAAGGTGCAGATTCCTCGGCTGTTGATGGATTTAGCAGAGGAGGAGGCGCGACTGGAGGAGGGAGAGGCAGGCATTAGGCAAGGGGGAGAGGCCCTCCTCAACCTTCAGCCTGCTATAGAGGCCATCTGTGAGCTTCCCAGGGCCCTGCTGCAGCACCCTTCTTTTGAGGTTAAGGAAGTAGGCCTAGCTTTCTACCGCAACCTTCTCAACCACGTAGTCGTCCTTGTCGAGGAGGAACGGCGTCTCAGCGCCTGGAGAGACCACCTGCGCAGCGAAGCAGCAGCAGCAGCTGCTGCCGCTGCTGTTGCTACGGCAGGCAGTGTACCCGGCGCAGCAGCAGCAGCAGCAACAGCAGAGGCTGCCGGCGGGAGGAAAGACCCAGCAGAAGCTCTGGCTGAGGTGGAGCGTCGTTATGAACGCAGTATTGAATCCCTCGCACTCCGAGAGCCTGTGCTCTCTCGTATCTTTCAACCCTTTGCGGAGGCAGCAGTGCTGCAGCTGAGGCCCCCAGTGGGGGCCCTCTTGCGGGAGGAGATGGAGTTTGAGGCGTGGCAGAACTTTCGTGCAGAAGTAGCGGCCACCGTCACAGAGGCCGCTGTTTTGCTAGATATAGACCGCCCCTGTAGCGCCAGCGCAGCGCAGCTTCTCGTGCTGCTGAAGGACCCCGAGGCAAGTCTTCCTGGGTTATTATGGAGGCTTTTGTTCATGCATGTGGGGATGCGTTGCTGTTGTTTGTCTCATGCTTGAGGGGAATGCGCGGCTGCACTTGCTCCTGTAGCCTTCCTCGCCTGAAGCAACCTCGTGCGTGTATTGGGTGTCTCCCCGCAGACTGCTGCACGCCCTGACGCGCTGCTGGAGGTGGAGGCGCGTCTGTACTTTGTCTCCGCAATTGCTAACCGCATTCGAATGAATGTGCCGCCAGGAGGCACAGAAGGAGACGACAGTAACATCAGCATCAGCAACAACAGCGCGAATGCAGCAAGCCCCTCCACAGACCCCCGCAACGACAACTTTCTGCTGCAACTTCTCCCGCTGCTACCGCAGATGGCTTTGCTGGCCTCGCAAGACGGTCCTTCTGGCCCCCCTGTGGAGATCACTGAGCGAGAGGCCCTGACGCTCTTCTTGCATGCAGCAGCAGCCCGAGCTATATCTTGGCTGTCTGGGCGTGTGCTGCCGCAGCACCAGGAGTTGTTTGCTCCTCTCTTTTCTCTCCTGGTCACTCGCGCGTTGCAGTTCGTAGCGTCTCTGCCGGTGCGTCTGCGTGCATCGCGTCTCCCTTCAGCAAATGTCCCTTTTGTTCACATCAGCAGCTTCTTTGCATTCCTGTCTGTCTCCTCGGGCTGTTCCGCAAGTGCACTGCCTTGTGATCGTGCAGCAGCTGGCTGAGATGAGGACTCTCTCTGGAGAGAGCGGTCTCTCTGCTGGCGACTTGGGCTTAGCAATAAGCGCATGCCTTGCACTACCAGTTTCTCTGTCTCTCTCTTTATTATATATATCGGCAGCGGCTGATGCTCCTGTGCTGACTCTGCTGCTGTTTGTGTCTTTTGTTTCGGCAGGAGGCGGCTAAGGATTCGAACGCTTCTCTGTTGCGCCTGTCTACTGAGGCGCTGCTTGTTGAGGGCCTCTCTTCGCTTGTTGCTGCAGCTGCGGGCTTCATTTCCTCCCCGGGCAGGGAGGAGGACGTGCATGCGCTGCTCCATGCCCTCATAGAGGCGTTCTCCAGGCACGCCCCTCTGCGCGCCTCTCAGATAGCCAAGCTAGCGACGCATGCACCCGCTGCTACTTGTTATAGCCTCGGTGTCCCGAGGCTAGCTAGCTGACTAGCTAGCAAGCTCACTCGGTAGCTAGCTGACTGTCTAGCTAGCTCCCTCGGTAGCTAGCTTACTAGCTATCTAGCTAGCTCTTTGGTGGGTTGTCTTTAGGCCGGGACTGAGTCTGGACAACAGCTCCTCCTTGGTGCACACAGCGGGATACGTCATCTCCTGCCTCGACGCTCCTCGCATTCGCGTGCTCTTTGCACAGCTTCTTGAAGTAGGTGAATTTGTACCGATTTTTGTTCTATCTTTATGTGTTTTTCTCTTTTTGTTGGTCCCCTTCTGCCCCTCTTTTTGTCTCCCTTTGAGCAGACGCTGTCTCCTTTCTATTGTTCTGCCCTTCTTCCTGTCTCCTCTGCCTCACCTCTCTTTCTGTCTTGCGCCTAGGCCTCTGCCTCTTGAGACCGCTGGCGTGCGTTCCCCCTAGCAATGCGTAATTCATAGTTAGTTGGGTGTTGGGGCCTTGTGCCTTGCACATCTGCGTTCTATGAAGTTGCTGTTTGAGGGCTCTATGGCTACGCATGCATATATGCATGCATGCATCCATGCATCCGTGCTTGCATGCGCGCATGCATGCATGCATGCAGTCACTAGGGAGCGAACTCGACCGGTCGCTGTCGGACCCCAGCTGCCCCAGCAGCACGATAAAAAGGAACTTGGGGCTTTTCTTCTCGGCTCTGCAGTCTGTACAACCAGCTGAAGACTTCTTGCCTCCTCCGCCTTCTCAGTCCTTCGAGCCTCTGAGCCGTGAGTGGAGACAAACAAAGTAGCAAGAGACTTTATGCAGCAAAGAAACACCTATCTTCTCACCAGTAAGAGGTCCAGCAGACCTGCGGTAGTAGGGTGCATCGGGCCAGACGCGAGCAGCAGTCGTCTAGCTAGCTAGATCTTCATCCAGCCAGATGGCTAGCTAGCTAGCTAGCTGAAGCGGGTTGAGTCTACAGGTGACGCTGGAAGGCACGGCCGTTGAGTGTGAGGGAGAGAGGCCGTTTGCCTCTAAAATAGAGACAGAGCTACAGAGACAGAGACAGCGGCAGAAACAGACGGAGGGACAGAAACGGAGACAAAGAGACAGAGACAAGAATATATGTTTGGTGCGGCTGTGCTGTGTGCAGCGCGTAGTCCCTACCGGCATCCCGTCTTAGACGCGGTGGAGACGAGCTGGCCGACGATAGAGAAGGCAATGACGCAAGGCCCTCGAACAGAATTTCTTTACGAAGTCTCTTGCTACTCCTTGGTGGCCCTCTGCGCAAACTGCAGGGCCCACATTCCCCGCTACCGGTAGGGAGGATGCTGCTGGGGCCCTGGGCTTCCCTGTCTTCGTGTATATATATATATATATTTATATGTAGATGCATATATATATATATGTATCCAAGGCAGGATACAGTTCAACTGACAGGGGGGTCTGTGTAACTATTTGCGTTTTTGATTTCTTCTAGTGAGAAGCGAACATTTCTTTTTTGCATTTTTAGGGCTTCTCTTGAAATGCATGAAAATCTGGCGAAAGACATATTTGCATGCGTTTCGACATAGGGGGCTAAACCTGCTTCCAAGGACTGCAGAGCGTCTCTATCTCTAAACACACACACACGCACACACACACACACACACACACACACACTCCGATGTCTCTAAACACCGGCTCGTTTGCGTGTGTCTGTGTTTTTGTTTGTTCGTTTGTTCGTTTGCACCTCTTGGTTTGTATGCATGTGGATATACATTCATGCATTTGTTAGAATATGTGTGGATACATGCGGGTGTATATACACCTGCGTGGAGTTAACACTGAGTACATAGAATTGCATTTATTGGTCGATGTTTGTGTTTGTTTGTTTGGAGTGGCTTTTGTTTCTTGTCTTTACTGCTGCATGCATCGCAGGGTGTTTTATTCTTTTTTGCATGCACTCTGCTGCACCTTCGCGGACTGCCCCACAGTCTACCACTTGGGGGCCCTGCGCTCTCTTCAAGGCATCTTCTCTAATGCCCAAGAGGTTTGCGTGCGTCGTGCTGTTGCTGCTGCTCTCGAGGGCTGTGTGGGTGCAACTCTAAGCAAGATCAAGGTGAGCCGTTACGCACAACAAAGGGGACTGTCCCCTTTGCCTCATTTAACTCAAAGAGACGCGCTCCTGTAGAATAAGGAGACTGCAAACTGTCTCCTTGTCAGCGCACAGCTAGCTAGCTCCTCCAGCGCAAAGAGACAGGAGACTGTCTCGCTCACCACGAGGAAAGCAGCATGCTTTAGGGGCAAGAAGCTCTTCCCGACAGAGGGGGCAGACAGGCATGTGCAGCAAGAAGAGACACTGCTGCAGCAAGAGGAGACACTGCAGACACGAGCAACATGCCAACTGCTGCACGTCACGTCTTAGGGGTGTTTAAGGCTTGCGCCTGTGAATACGTTGCGTCTCTTTTAATCTCCTTGTGTGTTCGTCTGTCTCCTTTCCTGTCTCCTCCACTTTGAATTGCCGTCCGGGGTGGGGGCGGTGCTGGTCTGGTGCAGCGTTTTGTCTCCGGCGCAGCTTATTCATTCTCAGTGTTTGTCTCTTTGTGTCTCCTGCTGTTATTCCTGTTTCCTCTTATCTCGTTTGTTTCAAGCGGGATATATGTATGCATTTGCAGTGTATGTATCCAAGTGTCTCTTTTGCCGTTTGTGGAGTTCTGTCTCTTTATTCGTTGGGTTATTAATGTCTCTTCTGTCTCTTCTTCTGTCTGCAATTCTACTGATCAGGAGGAAGGCGAGAAGTATATGTACAGTCAGCCCGACATTGTAGGGATTTCTGTGGATTGTGTAAACGTCGCGTTGCTGCACCCTCTCAGTGCAGAAGCGATCGTCTCTTCCTCGTGGTTTGAGGCCCTTTCTGTCTCTGCTATTCAATACACCCCAACCTGCCATCATCCAAAGGTAACCTCCACCCGGAACGCACGCATGCATGCATGCATGCATGCAATGGCTTGCATGCATGTAGAGGCATCCATGCATGCATCCACAGCCATGCATCCATACATCCACAGTCGTGCGTGAATACATGCATGCATGCATGCACGCATCAATAGGCATGCATGCGTGCATGCATCAACAGACATGAATGAGTGCATGCATGCATTCGGGGGTGATTTCAACGGCCTTCGTTATTCCTTGCCTTCGCTGCTGCAGGTCCTCCACACCTTTATTGTTTTTCTGTCTCGCCTTGCCGCCTGGGTGGACCCGCCCTCAATTCTGCACTGTTATCAAGTTGGTGAGTGTCTGAAACCTTCAAGGGTTTAGGGTTTAGGTTTAGGGTTTGGGGGGGAACTCCGTACGAACAGCACTGCTGCGCGCTGAAGTGCTGGTGGCAATACACCGCACCGCCCCTGTAGACGCTGCAGACGGTAGCCTCTGCATGCTTTTGCAAACTCTCCCTTTCACTGTTGTATCTCTTTAAAGCGGGTCTTATCATGAAATGGACCTAAGACGAAGAACAACAATATATATATATATATATATATATATATATATATATATAT